TGACGCCTGGGCAAATTTTAAAATAGGCAGGTTTCCAGCGCCTAAGGACAGGCCAGCCTCTGAGGTTATTGAGTAAAAAGTCAACACCCTAAAGTCAATTACACTATTGACAGATACTCTTACAAGGAGATTTCACATCATAATTATATGCAAAGGAACCCAGCAAACAGAAGCTGTGTAATAATCAGCTAATAAAAGTAACACTTCATCTATGTCAATAGCAGTTTCAGAGTCAAGACAAACAAACATGGCCTTTGCCACTCAGCGGAGGGGGAAAAAAACCCTGGAAGACAAATATTTTCATTTAAGGAGAAGTCGCTTAAAAAACGTATCACACAAGGAGAATAGGAAATTGGTCCTTAGTGGGTGCTAATGACCCTCTCACCCCCCTCCCCGGGACCTCTGGGCAGCAAGCCTTGGAATCATCAGAACACCCACAGGGACCCTGGGGTATGGCTATGTGGTCTGGGTGACAGCAGTCAGTGTTCTGCTCTCCCAGACAGTTTTCCTTCTAATCTTGGCTGAGCTTAGGGTCAACTGACATGAGGCCAAATTAAAAATGTTTCAGAGCCGGGCTCGGTGGCTCAGCCTTTAATCCCGCGCTTTGGGAGGCTGAGGTGAGTAGATTGCCTGAGCCCACGGGTTCAAGACCCGCCTGGCCAACTTGGTGAGACCTCATCTCTACAATAAATCAAAAAATTAGCCGGGTGTGGTAGTGCGTGCCTGTAGTTCCAGCTACTCCGAAGGCTGAGGTGGAAGGATTGCTAGAGCCCAGCAGGTCGAGGCTGCAGTGGCCAGGAGCGGCCAGTGCACTACAGTCTGGGCGACAGAGTGAGACACCGACTCAAAAAAAAAAAATTTTTTTTCAAATTACAATGAATGGGAAAGAGTAAAACATGATATCCCCCCCCAAACACTTGATAATGGGTCTCAGACAGACACTGATCATACAAATGCCTAGGAAGCTGTACTTATATTCATTCTTCCTAGAAGCATCTTAGCACCCACTCTATGCCCTACAAACAGAAGTCTTCCACCCTTTCCCCCAATTGCACTTAAAACTGAGGGGGCTGAGAGTACGTGGACAACTTACTGCTCATGGTGGTCTTGAGCAGTAAGTGGTCTTCCCGATGGGCTGTCTCTATTTATGCAAACGGTAATTTTTCTAGTTGCTGCAAACCGTGATTGTGCCTTTCACTAAAACTAAATTTTTGCTCAAAATTCCTATGACACTCAGGAAAGTAACTCTTTTGTTTTTTGGGGATTTGGGGGTCTCATTCTATCATCCAAGGCTCACCACAGTCTCAAACTCCTGGGCTGGGTGCGATGGCTCATGCCTGTATTCACAGCACTTTGGGAGGCTGAGGCGGGAGGATCACTTGAGCCCAGGAGTTCGAGGCCAACGTGGGTAACAGCGAGATTCCATCTCTACAAAAAACAAAAACAAAAACAAAACAGCCGCCTTAGCCTCCCTGCAGCTGGGACTATAGCCATGTGCCACCATGCCCAGATAATTTTTAACAATTTTTTTATAGAGGTAAGGAAAGCAGTCACTCTTTAATGAGACTGTGTGTGAGTTTGGCGTGGAGGGACACTGGACAAGCTGTGCTATTACAAAGTTTTGGCCACTCAGCCTCAAAACCACCCTTCCTACTGGAGGTTGGGGCAGGACGGTGCCACCCAGCTCTGTGTGAGGCTCTGTCACCAGGGGGTGCTATACAGCTTGCGAGGCAGTGAAGCCCTGAGGGTCCTGCTATCTCCCATTCTAGTCATGGCCACAATTCTACTCATTCCTGCAGTGGCAGTTTGCACCTTGCTGGACGATATTCCCTTAAGGGCACCTCCACCATCGGGCCTCCACCTTGGAGGTCTGAGATTGAGCCCCATGGGGTGACCATTCCAACTTCCTCCTTGTTCCTCTGGGATATTCTGCATTCTCTTTTTACCCTTTTGGTTACCCAAACCATGACTTTCTACATGGTTAACATTTCTTTGCATTAAAGTTTCTCTGTTCAGACACTTGGCAATGCTGGGTGTGATGGCTCATGCCTGTAAACACAGCACTTTGGGAGGCTGAGTCGGGAGGATCACTTGAGCCCAGGGAGTTCGAGTCCAGTGTGGGTAACAGCGAGATTCCATCTTTACAAAAAACAAAAACAAAAACAAAACAGGTAGGCATGGTGGTGCATGCCTGTAGTCTCAGCTAATCAGGAGGCTGAGGCTGCTGTGAGCCATGATTGTCACGATCGTGCCACTGCACTTCAAGCTGCGTGACACAGTGAGATTCCGACTAAAAAAAAAAAAACTCTCTCTGTTCAAACACCTGGCATGGTTTATGTCTCCTTACTGGACTTGACTGATACACACATCTAGCCCCAGGCCTTGTTTCGTGGTCTTACTTTGGAAGGAACCCAGTTGAGGTGCTCACTGGACTGGATGGATGGCAACTCTTTAAGCAGAAACAAGACTTCATCTACCCAGAAAAAAATCATCAATATTTAAAGTAGCGTCTCTAGAGGATAGTAATCAGTAACATCTGTGCCACATTATGACTAAGAGTGGTGATTTAAGTGAGGAGGCAGCGCTCGCTGAAGGCCAACCTGCTGTCACCTGGCTTTTCTGTGCCCTCTACAAGGAATGGCTGGGCCCATGGGATGCTACCTGCAAAGGCAGCTCAAGATCATGGACGGGCGTCTAAACTTAGATCTGCTCATGAAAGTACATCATCACTCTAAGCAGAAGCAGTCCACAGCCTCCAAGTCTTCTCAACTGAAAGGATGACCGTGAGGCAGGCCAGGAGAGCCCAGAGAAGGAATGAAAAGCTGAATCTCACCTCTTCACGATAAGGTGCAGGTGCTGGCCTTCTGACTTTATGGTAGAGGTTTGCTGCTTAGGAACGAGTGGAAACACTGATCTCAGGGAACCCAGGAAAGATACCAGCCTAGTATGAGAAAAAGCCCTTCCTTGGACATTTTTGGGTCGTCAGGTCAGTAGAAATGATACTGGATTTTTTTTTTTTTTTTTAGTCAGAGTCTCATTCTGTTACCCAGGTTGGAGTGCAGTGGCACAACCATAGCTACCACAGCCTCGGCCTCCTGGGCTCAGGCAATCCTTCCACCTCAGCCTTCCAACAGCTGAAACTACATACAGGTGCCAGACACCATGTCTGAATCTTTTTTTTTTTTGTAGATATGAGGTCTGGTTATGTTGCCCAGGCTGGTCTTGAACTCCTGAGCTCAAGCGACCCTCAGCCTCCCAAAGTGCTGGGATTACAGGCATGTGCCACTCTGCCCAGCCTGATAGGTGGTTTTATAAACTACAGTTATTCTAGTTCCTGACAATGTCTCTCCCTGTTGGATCCTGTTCAGCAGAGTCTGCCCTGAAGATGAAGCAACTTCCATCCTGGAGAGAGCAGGCTGGTTTGCCGGAAGGGTTAAAATACATAAGCCCCTAAAGAAGTTCTACACACTGTTCCCAGGAGGAAGCTCAGCCTCGCATGTCCCTCAGGCTCAGCCAAACAGACTTGCTGGCATGGTTTCCTGCTGGACATGCAATGCTAGGAAAGCAAAATGGCCTCTTGGCACTGACAGGCTCTGTCAGTGCAGGAGGGAAGGAAGAGGCTCTCAGGATGCTGATTGGGGACACAGGCCTTTGCTAGTGAGCAGCCCTGGCCCACACCACCAGGCAACAGGAAGGAAACATCGCCGATGGAGTGACATGCAGTCCCAGCCTCTGAGAGCAAACCACAGAGGAGAGAGCGGGATACCCAGAGAGATTGCCCCAATCAAGTTGTTCCTTCAAAAAACTGCAACAGACGCCTGGGGCTGATGGGTTCGCAGCAAAGAGAAATTAGTCTGGCTGGGCACAGTGTCATCCCAGCACTTTGGGAGACCAAGGCAGGATGATCACTTGAGCCCACGAATTTGAGACCAGCTTGGGAGGCAGAGCCAGACTTTGTCTCTATAAAAAATAAATTAGTCAGGTGTGGTGGCATGTGCTTGTAGTCTCAACTACTCAGGAAACTGAGAGGGGAGGATCGCCTGAGTCCAGGAAGTTGAGGCTGTGGTGAGCTGTGATTGTGTCACCGCACTCCAGCCTGGGTGACAGAATGAGACCCTAACTCAAAACAATTTTTTTGTCTGATGCTGGCTCAGAAGCCAAGTTCAGAGAAGCATTGGGAAGGCACCACCTTTGTGATGGGTCTTGAAGGAGGCTGTCTAGCACACAGAGGCCGAGGGAGGTGTACATAGAGAAAATGGCAGACATCAGATGGGTAGGTAGTGGGTACATCTGGCGAACAGATGTGGCTCACATAGACAGGGCAGCCAGGGGACTGTCAGGTGGTAGAGTCATGATAGCCTCTCTGGAGGCATGCTTGGGGAAGTTGGTCTGGTGGTGGTGGATGGATGGGCAGGAGGGGCAGTTGGGTGGAGGCTCCTGCAAGGGTGCTCTCAAGGGCTCCTAGCTGGCGGGGGATCCTGGTTCTGGCTGGCCGTGCAGATGAGGGACATGGAGAAATGTCCCATGGAAGGTTCATGGGGTTTGGCCACTGACCCGATCTGCCATTTCTAGGTCACCTATAGAGCATGCGTGATTTTGCACCTGGTTTCACTGCAACACCTTATAGAAGGCAGGGGTCTCACAGATGAAGAAACTGAGGCCCGGAGAGGTCAGATGCTGGCCTACAGTCACAGGGCAGGGAGTGGCAGGGCTGGGTCCCGAGCAAGACCTGGTGGCCCAGAACCGACTCACACCCTGTCAGTGTGCCCTTATGCCTATCCCACCTGCTTCTTAAAACAAGAGGCTTCATGTGACTGCTTGCCACCTCCTCACCTAGAGAGACCAGGAGTCTGGTGGCCAGAAGCAGGAGCTGGCCCTTGGGTGGGGGTGTCAAGGTCACCCTCCCGATCTGAACATCCATGCAGATTTCTGTCTTCACCAGCTGGAGGCTAGTCCCCTCGGTGCTCCCAAGGGGACCACCCTCCCCGTGCCCCACTCACCTCATGGCTGCTGTCATGCTGATGGGGGTGATCGGCAGCGGCCGGACACCAGGGAACAGCCCTCGGCTCAGAACCCGTGCTCCATTCTGGATCACTCCTGGGGGGACTGCAGAAGCAAAGGGGAGAGGTGTGAGTCCAGAGGGAAGATTTAGTGCTAAGTCGGGGATGGGGGTAGGGGTACAGCAGAGTGGGAGGGTAGGAACGGGGGAAAAGAGAGACAGAGAGCAGACAGAGAGGGAAGCCTTCATGCTAAGTTAGGGATGGGGATATGGCAGAGGTGGGGAGAGACAAAGACACACAGAGAGAGACAGAAACAGAGAGAGGGAGAGAAGGAATGGGGAAGAAAGAGCGGGCGAGTGAGAGAGAGACAGAGACAGGGAGAGAAGGTGTAGGTGAGAGCGAGGGAAGTGAGACAGAGAGGGAGAGAAGGGGTGGGGGTGAGAGAGACAGAGATGGGGGAGACAGAGAGGGAGACAGAAAGAGGGGGAGAGAGACAGAGACAGGGGAGAGAGACGGAGGGAGGGAGACAGAGACAAGGAAGAAAGACAGAAACACACACAGCAGAGAAAGAGAGGAAAGTATTTACACACACACACACACACACACACACACACAGAGAGAGAGAGAGAGAGAGATGCCAAGAGCAAGATAGCAAGGTACTTTGGTCGGCAGAGTCAGACCTGCAGCTCACAACCAAATGACTGACACCTAGGTTTTAAAAAAGTGAGTTTAAAAAGTGGGCTTCCAATATTATTTTCTTGCCCTTACCAAGCATAACTGTTTACCTTGGGTCAGATTGCAACAACACCCCAAGAACCCTGACCCACAGGATGGTAGCAGGGGAGCCAAAAACACTTCCTCATGTGCCTCTGGCCCCGGCCAGGATCTGGGAACATCTTTCTATTTGCCTTTAACCAACAAAGGAGAATCGAGACAAAACTAACAGCCAGGCCAGTGGTGCACGCCACTTGGCACTTGGCCCTCACAACACCCCTGCCTCCCTGTGGGCTTCACCCCTCTGGGGCCAAGAGGTGTCTTCCTTCCTGAATGCCAGCTCGGAGGGCCCAACTCCCTCCTTCCTTCCCCAAAGCTTCCCCCAAGCAGATTGCCTGAGAGGCCTCCCACCACCCCACCTCCTAAGACTCACATCCTTGGGAAAACCTCACGTCCCCTTCTCGCCATCAACCATAACCTTCTGGATACTGTCTACACAAACTCAGAGTAGCTTCACAACGATCTGATTCTGAGGATTTAACCGAACAGAAGAGCTTCAGGGAATCCCTGATACGCATCCTTTTCTGACCCCCCAAGCGGCCATTTCACCTGGTTCCAGTGACTTTCCTGTGTCCTGGGACATCTCCCAGCCACACTCCATGTGTCTATGGGGCCAGGTGAGATGCTGGTGGTTTGAGTCTTAGTTCTTCCTGTATGACTGTGGAAGTCCCCGGATCTCTGCTCTCCTCTATGGCGGGGTGCTCCCCCAAGGGCCCTTCTGCCGTCACGGTCCTAAGACTCCCCAGAGCCCTGGCCATGCCCATGTGGGCCCCGGCACAGTCCCATACAGAGGCACCGTGGGTAAGTTGTGCTTTTTCAAACTAAGACCACCGAAGAGGGTCTAGAAAATTATGCGCTAAAAAAACGGCAACCACTCTGGATATTTTTAAGGCCAATATTCCCTGGGTGGAATAATTGCTTTTTATAAAACACAGTGTCTATATTTGTACAAACTCTGACTTTGATACTTTTTAGGTCTGCAAGAACATGTTTTCAAGCCTTTAACTAAAGATCCTTCTTGAATGTATACTCGTGGGATAATTTTATAGACTATCAATTCTTTGGGCATGGTGTACCTCTTGCTAATAATTTTGCCATTTTTTTCCTAGGTTTGTGTAAGGCCCTTGTGACTAGGTCTTCCAAAAGGTAGGATGGTAAAATTGAAACTCTTGCCTTAGTCAATAATACTAGTACCATCCAGTGTTCCGGAATCTTCCCACTCTCTTACCACACTTAATTGTGAGAATAGGCAGAAGCAGATCAGAAACTCCTATCATCCATGATTATCAGCCTGACTTCAGGTAACAGACTCTATGACTTTATTTTTGGAGGCAGGAAACTGACCAAATATCTTAAAAACAAGGAACTGTTATAATGTGGTGTGCAGTTAATTATCATGAACTTTCTATAAAAAAGAATGCCTAAAATGTATATTACCTAATTTATATTATCTACTTTAAAGACTTCTCATAAAGTTTCAGGAACCAAGATGGTCTGGTACTGGCGTAAGTATAGACATATAGACCCATGAAACAAAACAGAATCCAAAAATAAACCCACATGTATGTGGCCAACTGATTTTTGACAAAGGCACCAAGACAACACAATGATGGAAAGAAGGGTGTTAGAACAAGCAGACATCCATGGAAAAAAATAGATCTCAACCCCTACCTCACACCGTATATGAAAATTAATTCAAAATGGATCGCAAGCTTAAATGTAAGAACTAAAATTGTAAAACCTCTAGAAGAAAACATTGGAGGAAAAAGATCACTAATTCTCAAGAACAGACATATGCAAAATGCTAGCAGAATTCTCTAATTTATAGACAGGTGCTTCAAACTATATGTAGGTACATTGCCCAAAAAGACAGGCTTTCCCTTAGCTTGTACTGGGGATTTGAAGGAGAGAGTTTCATAGTTTTGCTTTGCGGTACTCTCTCTTGGAAATGGTCAGATAACCACAGGCTCAGTTAAATTCTGCTCTAAGTTATGTTACTGGGGAGCTCAGAACAGAAATTGAACCTGATACAATCAACCTGCTGATAAATAACTTAAATATTTAAAATCTGTGCCACTGTTGTAATAATCTTGTCAGTAAAAATTATTACTGTCCCATATATAGATTGTATTAATTTATGATAATTTTAAACAAGTACTTGCCTAAGTACTAGGTGATTCGAATATAAGGTAACAACAGTCAAGTGTGTGTGTGTGGGGGGGGGAGGGCAGGGCAGAGAGAGGAAGAGGGAGAGGGGGAGAGAGAGAGAGAGACAGGGAGTGGGAGAGAAAAGGGGGAGAGGAACAGAGAGATGGGGAGACAGAAGGGGGAGGGTAGAAGAGGGAAGGGGGGAAAGAGGGAGGAAGGGGAAGAGAGAAAGAGCCGGGGGCGGGGAGAAGAAAGGCAGCACTGAAAATATATGATGGTGAATGCTAAGACAGGGGCCCTATAGCCACAGGCAGGAACAGGAAGGATGGAAACACCTAACCCAAACCTAAGGGGTATCCAGGAGGGCTTCCTGTACAAAGTGCCATCTAAGCTGGAATTTAGAGGCAGAGAAATAATAGCACACCCAAAAACCTGGAAGTGATTAAGAAACAAAAAAGCACGTTGTGCACAAAGAACTGAAACGTTATCCTGCTACAGCATATAATTGCAGATGCATTTGAGCTTTATTCCAGGGGTACTGGGAAAACCATCAAGGGGGTCTGAGTAGGGAACTTCCCTGCACTGCGATGGCTGAGGGTCAGACCTGGTGTCAGACTAAGGTGGATCTGTGCCTCATCTCTGCCAATGACCGACTGACTCACCTGAGCAAGTGACTTAAGATGGGGATAAAAATGATCTCACATTGACCTCACAGGGTATGTGGAGACTGAGTCCATAAAGACACAAGTACTTAGAAAACCCATGTTAGTTCTCAGTATCAGTATCATCACACCACGGTAAGATTCACAGAAGAATCCTGGGGCAGCCTGTGCTTTTTCCATCTAAAATGAGCTGAAAACCCATGAGAACAGGAGGGAACAAAGCCAGACCACAGTGGAAAACCTGAGCTTTCTTCCCAGTGACATGGTATCTGTTCTCCTTGTGCCTGTCATACCAGAGTCTCCCCTCCAGCAAAAACACCCCTAATACCTAGAATTGGACAGAGACGAAGGGGCCCCGGGCTGGAGCACAGGAAGTCATGGCGCACATGCTCCTTGTGGCTGAGGACAGTGTCCACGACAGAGTCCTCTGCCCCAACACCTGGGACCTTTGAGCAGCAGGGGCACACCTTGCAGGAAGGAAAGGAGGACAGAAAGCGTCACCAAGTACTTGCTGGAGACCATGCTCAGGTGACGCTCCTTGTCTCTGGGAAACTTCAGGCTTGAGCCCTGAGCAGCAAGACCTCGTGTCAGTCCCTGCACATTACTGCCTCTGTGGCCTTGGCCTCTGTCCTCACCTGCTGGTTCCTCCATTTCCTCACTGGTTTCGCAGGCATAAACACACCTCATAGGATTGCTCTGATGATTAAATAGGATAAGGTATGCATACCACTTAGTTCAGTGGCTGGCCCAATACGAAGTTCCTCACCATCATCACCACCACCATCATGGTCATCATCATCACTATCATTATCCTTCCATCACTGTCACTGTCACCATCATTGCCATCATCATCAGCATCATCACCGTCACCATCATTACCGCTATCATGATCCTTCCACCATCCTACACCACCTCTCACGCATCCTCTTATTAATTATCCAGAAGGTACAGGGCTTCATAGGGTCATGGCACGGGAAAGTTCTTTTAGCCTGTTACTCTTTTTGTAGATATCCCTAACCCTGCGCCACTCCGTAAAACATCTTCCTGATTAACGAACTGTGCTCACTTCAGAGAGTCTCATGGTCAGAGCTTCCCTGGTGCGTACACAGGCTCCCGAGCCAGTTCCTGAGCCTCACAAGACTTCTGGCACTTTGACTAGGTTCTTCCTCTGAATTCTACAGCTTGTTCTGAAATGGCCACAGTGAGACACTGCCTCGGACAATCTCGGCACCTGTCAGTCCTCATCTCTGGCAGTGCCCTCCGTGTCCAGGGCCGATGTTCTTATTAGCTCACTGGCTGCCAGGAGCCATTTGGGACACCCAACTGTACCCTTATCTTTTTTCCTTTCTGTTCCCATCCCCAGTATCAGGGACATGGCTTCTGACATCCGAGTCACACAGTCAGTGCTACATGGCTCTCTGTCTGATGGGGACACGTGGTGGTCCACAGATCATGATTTTTTTTTTTCTGTTTAGGTATAAGTCTCTTGTAGAGCTTTAAACTTTTTTTTTTTGAGTTGGAGTCTCACTCTGTCGCCAGACTGGAGTGCAGTGGCTG